TGTGATATTATATATTATTATTGTATAAATTCAGTATTCGATACTTTAGAATTTATAAAAATATCCTTTATAAAAATCTAGTATAAATAGATCATAAAAAAGGTTATATAATACGATAATATCGATAATAATTTCTAAACAATATCTATATCTGTAATAATTTATATCAATTATATATGATAGTGCATTCTAAAACTTCATTTACGTTTCAATTAAAAAATTCAGAATACGCATATTCGAAAGAAAAAAATATCTATATAACAACATAAAATTTTTTTTTTTTTTTATCAACGATTCTTAATTTATGAAGAAACTTTTAGCAATGCAATGCATAGAAATAGAATACATAAATCTCATTTATGTTACTTATTAAAACACGTTATGGAAAAAGAATGTTTTATCAAAATATATATTATTTCAAAAGCCCTAAACAAAAGCAAAAAAAAAAAAAAAATGGCCTTTCATAACTTATAATTATATAAGTTCATTATTGCGGCTAAAAATATATTACCAAGATATTACCAGTGAAACATATATAGAAACATATATGAAACATATATATATATATATATATGAGTCTATAAATTTTCAATAAATGTAACTTATTTAGGTTAGCTACTGTAATATAATCGGTCTCTTAAGCAATCTAAGAATGAAACCGAATAGGAATACAATTATACAATGACTATACTTGAAATGTAATATATGTAGATTTCGGAATGGTATTGTTAATTATACGTTTTTGGTTTCTCTTGTTATAAATCAAGATTGCCTAGGTAGCCTAGGATACCAACGAACAATCTAGTAGTCTGAATTATTAGTTAATGACTCGAGCAGTTGTTTATAAATAGTATTAGAACAGAAAATATAAGGGCGAATATTGTCTTAAATGGCTATGTTTATTGTCATTCATTATTCGTAGGAAATAATAATTAAGAATTTGGGCTTGTGATGCGAACGGATTATATATGTAATAAAACATTTTTCACTAACATTAAAACTTCTTTATTTCATGAAATTTTTTACAATAATTAATCACTATTTATGTACAGATTTGAAAATATAAAATACGGATTATTCAAAAACTGTGCAAAGTATTAAAGATTGTTATCATGATACTATTAAACAATCCTTCTTAAGCGTAATTTTAATAAAGAAGCAAAAATTAAATAAAATCAAAAATTATTAAATTATGTCTAATACTCGGTACTTAATTACTTATATATTTGAAATTAAATTCAATTAATTTATTGCATTATCGAATTGAATAACACATGTAGATCAAATACGAAAAATTTTATTGTAAATGGGATAGTAGAAGCTAATATAAATAATATTGTTAATAGATAACACGTTTTACTAACAATTTGGCAAAAATAACAATTAAAATATTACAGCTACTATTAATTGATATTAATTACATAATTAGCTAAGCACGACTATTTATTGAAAATTGAATTTTCTTTTACAATAGATTAATTTTATAAATGACTCGACTTTCCATTCTAAATTGCTATTAGAAATGATCAAAATAACATAATTTCAAGCATTTCGTTAGCAAGAGAGAGATAAATTTACGTATAGATTGAAAAGGATAAAATAATGATGTCAGATATTAGAAAATAAAGAGAATGATGAAGTGACAGAAGTTTTCATCGCGAATTGAAAGCTCGTAGGAAATGTGACAGAGAAGACTTAGAATGAATCGAGAGAGAAGCATCTAGTGACGAGTGTCACCGTATTTTCCTCCATTCGTATTCTTTGCTTCGCTTTACTTTATGGTTTCTTTCTTTGTACACTGATTCGTTTCCTACTAGAATATAGGACTTAAGTTTACTTTATTCGTTTTATTCAGCTATGAAAAGATGAGCGTATTGAAGGCAGATATGTGTAAATATGTGTATATATATATATATATATATATATATGAAATAAAGTTTTTTTAAGCTGGATATTAAGCATATTACATGAGATTACATATATTTCATTTTTATGGATAAACGATAATCTTCATCCTGAAGTACATCAGAATTTTTTAAATTACGATTTTTCGTTAATTTTATTAATTCTATTAAATTAATATGACTTTGAATTATATTTATTTGTATCAAATATGGATTATTCAATAATTACTTTTTAATAATTATTAGAAATATATAAATTTATATTTTGTATATTATATATATATATATTTATATATGGGAAAATTTTAAATGCTTTGAATTATTAATTTATTAGATTTGACAGAATAAATATAAATAATTTCATAGATAACATTCTTTAATGATTACTTAAAATATTTTAGAAATCATTTATTATTAACTATATTATATTAAAAATAAAATCTCTACTCTATCTATTCCACAAATTTTAAAAAATTTATTGACATCGGGGTTCAATTTCAAGATCTTATACATTTTCTTTGATTTTATGGGTTGACGTATTTGTAACGATATATCTCAATAAAAGTTTTAAAATTATTTTCATAGACAACTAAGCTTTATTTAAGAAAATTCCGATAAATATAGAGTGTATAATATAATACAATTATTATAAAAATTCTTGTCAGTTGGAGAATTCGAACGCAATGGAATCAAATCGAATGAAATCAAATGGAATGAATCGAATCACATTTCCATATTTTAGTCATTGTACAAATTAATATAATTAATTTCTTTTTACGATTAATTGGATCATTATTTAGTCATACAAAACTTAAAATTTATTTACATTGATTGAATGCAAGAAAAGAGATTATTTAAAAAAATCATTATCTAATAATTAGAACTACGGTTTCCAATTATTTACACGCATCAAAATTATTTTAAAAATAATTGTGAAGTAAATCATATAGATTATATTGGATTTGATTTGTACGAGCATTTTATAGATTTAAATACTTTAAAATACTCAATTCAAAGACCATTGAAGAATAAATATATATTTCTCACATTTTTACATATCATAATCGATATATTATATTTCAATATTTTTCTTGAAACTGTAATTTGAAACTCTACAGTTCTTTAAATATAAAATAAAACATTAATTTTAAAATTCAAAATAATTACAATTACTTTGTATTATTATTATTATTATTATTATTATTATTATTATTATTATTATTATTATTATTATTATTATTATTATTATTATTATTATTATTATTATACGTGATTTACTTCATTAAAAAATAAGGATATACATCATAAGGGATCATAAGAGATATATATTTTGAAAGTATGAAAAGTTTAATTCTATTAAGACTAAAGATAGATAGATATACCTTCATTCTTTTGTAATTAGTTGAAAATAAATTTCTATAAATTCTTAAAAGTTTTTCCTTCTTAATTATAATTGAATTAAATAACTCATTGCAATTAATATTTTTAGTATTATATTATCGATTTCATAATGATGAATAAGAAAATCAAAATTATCACCAAACAATCCACTTACTTTAGTTTAAAGTGAGTTAATTTTATTTTTAAACAAAATTATGAAATTTCATCATTTTATATTACTTTTATCAAATTGTTTTTAGATAAGATTGCTCATACTACCTCAAGGACGCTGTGGTGAAAATAAGCTTTTTATTCTAAATGAGACGGGTCGGAAAACGTTCGATTTAACTTTTAGAAGAAGAATGCATAGTTTTTTAAGATATCCGGTTTATTTAAAAGAAATAATCAATCACTTTTTGGTAGAAAAATCGCTTAGCCAGTCGGTAAAATAATAGTTTGGAGAGCAACATATCCGCTTGTCTATCTGTGAAAGACGTGAGCGATTAATCAAGTTAGCACAAGTCAGTTAAGCAAAGCCGCCAATTTGAACGAAAAGTTCGTTGTTTCTAGATAAAATATACCGAAGACTTTTGATAATAATTATATGACTGTTGCACCGTTACTTGCCAATAGTAACTAATAATTAATAGTAACGAAAACATTAATAGAACATCCGCTGGTATTATCATAGTCTAGTTTGTACAATTACAGAAAAATGCATTAAACATTATCATTTGTAATTTCAATCAAGTTCACATACTAATACATACGTACATATATATATATATATATTACAGAAAATGTTTACAAATTAATATATTATTTTCGCTATTTTCTGGAAATTATTATTCGAAACGATATTACATACCATATCATTCTACATTAATAAATAGCAGCTCAAGATAATTGATAAAACAGAATTAATGTGAAGAAAACTCATTCGATCGAATTATATATTTTGAAAATTTATAACCTTATTAATTATTTTACATAATACAATAGCTTACTCTAGTTTTTTTGAATTCGTGGAAAATGTTAAAGTCACGCGAGCGAAGAAGACATAACTATTGCAATCGAATCAAATTAATTATTCGATCATTGAAAAATTTGAAAATTAACGTCGATATTTGTAAAGTGAAGTAAAACTTTCGATATATTTGATTGATATTACTTATGCAATTGATCTAAATTTCGTATCACATAAAATTAACGGATAATGTATTTTTAAATTACATTCTATCACGTACATTCGGAAATGAAAATCTTACGTGCTCAATGATCATACTCTCAACGATATAATAGAATTCTAAATATTACACTTAATTCTGGCATTCTGAAATTATTTGCTAATCGTTAAAAGTTTCTAAAACAACTTTGATATCAAATTTTACCATTAACATCATTGCTCGGTCTAACTAGGTACCGGATACCATATCCCTTGTAATCTCATTAAGGCGTAATTCATTTAACATGCCATCAGCCACACTTTCCACGATTTTCCTTCCCAGGTCATCGATACACCGATAATCGACAAGTGCGCATGCTTCGCATAGGCATAAAGTTCTAAGCTCCCAGAAATTTTTCACCTCACTCCCTCCCCAACCTTCCTTAACCCACACTTTAAAAGCCCGCGTAAGCACACTCGACGGCTCGACCAGTCAATGCAGCGAAGTAATGGGAGCCCATAAAGAATTCGTCCTCGACTCCTCTACTCACCGATAGGCACGTTGACGATGAAGAAAATCGCAAGGCTGCGCTGGCAGAGCATCGTGGGCCGCGGCGGCGATGAGCGGCGCGGAGCCGCCAGCATCCGGCGACCGTTGCCCCACCAGGACTCGCTTAGCTCCTATCCCTTATCTTCTTAACCCCATCATCCTAGGCGTGGATCTCCGTTGCCGTCTCTCCCCCGCAGCGACATGCCTCCTATAAGCAAAGGAGCGATCAAGATTGAGCGACGGAGATCCTCTTATTTGCGGATTTTTTGCAATGGGAGTGGGTCAATGGTTGAAACGGCTGTTATTCGTCGGACTTGTCGTTTGCTTGGAGTGTACAAACGTTTCTGACACGACTCTTGGATAATTTAATGGTTTTATTCGTTTTCCCGCCTCGGCCGGCAATCTCGTTTATACCAACGTGACGACTACGCTGCATCTTGACTCTATTAAAAATTTTCGTCCTGAGTCACATTTCTCTGAAGAGAATTTGTCACCTGAACCAAGAATCGTGATATGGGAGTGAGTCACATTAGTTGGGAATTTTAATAAATAATAATCACATATTTGTATGAATAAATTTCGTATAGTTTCAATGAAAATTTTTGTCTATCCACATATGATTAAGCAGTTCGTTACTCCGCAATGAATCCAACTCGTCCATTAATTTAATGTATAGTAAGACATCCGAGCCGAACAATGTGAAAAGAATATGAACTAACATTGTCATGCATTGGTTATGATATTTGTGATAAGTTAAAAATGAACTCGTTACGTCCGATCATAAGGCATATCAATTATTTTCAATTTAATTGACATTGAAAATTAGTGGTAACGTACATTGGAATAGAAGCAAAATAAATAAAAAATTTTTTTAAATGTCATACAACTTGTTAATACATTTATTAATTATTCGTTGAAAAAAATAAATAAAATGTTACTAAAATACTTTCACTTGGTCGTAAAGCATATATAGGTTTTGAGAAATGTTGTTTAATTGTAAGTGTCGTTGAATAATTCTAAAATATTTTGAAATATTTAAAATTGTTTTTTATAAATAAGCTATCTCTAAATTATTCATAATTATTATTTTTTATAAAAGTTTTCTGAAAAAAAGTTTAATCTACTGTATAATTGTTATTATATTAAAGACTTCTATTCGGTATAAGACTAATACTTAATTATTCTTCATTTGATATAAAAATCTTGAAATTCATTTTCATGGTGAAATAGCATTTGACAACTAAATACTTTTTCACAACTGTCTATACGACTTTTGTGAGTTATAATATGTGTATGTCTTCATTATTGTAGACTAAATCTCTTGTGTCTCAATAATTGTGATGGTTAGTTATTACGATGTCATTTTAGTCAAATATTAGTTTATTGTTGAGAAATACTTGATGATGTCGGATTTTCAATTTTGAATTCTGCCTATTATATTGACGAATCGCTGAATTGATTATTAACGCGTCTAATTATTTAATAATAATAAAAGTAATAAAAAATTTTTAGTGTAAAATTAAAATCTTAAATTATCATTTAATGATGGGATAACGTCAGAGTTCATAGATGATCATCATACTAAAATCATAATAAACAGAAATTGTGTAGAAGTGAAAATAAGTATCTGGATAAATATGTAATACAGTAATTATTACTTATAATTGGCTCTCACGAGTTATCAATTTCAATATAATATATTCAAATTATATGGACAAATATTATGGAAATAATCAAATAATTTGTATACGTGGTATTATTCTATTATGATTATTAAAACTTTTTCCATTAATGTAAGTTATTTTCGTGTAATAAACTTTATATTACATTGACAATGAAGCAAATTATTATATGATCTGATCGGAACGATTTTCTCACAAGCATCGCATAATTATTGTAATTTCCAAAATTATAGGTACAATTTTTTTAATTTATTTAAAATGTTTAATCGGTCAAAGAAACTAATTTTTTGTGTTCAGTTATATTTCAATTGGACGAGTAAGTTCAAAAGTTTTTACTTAATCAGAAACTTTTGAAGAAGAAAAGAGACTACCGTTATTAAATCGGGTACTTACTATAGAAAATTTTACTTTAGAATACCTTACCATTTTCCTTAACCACACGATAATAGCTTAGCTTTTTTTTTTTTTTTTTTTCTTTTAACAATAAGAATTGTAATTATATTTGACTTTAATTTTTTAAAAGTTTGCTAGTCTGTGGGAGAGAATGAACGTTATTTTCGCAATTAATTATAGATCACAATAAGCCAAAAATATATATGGGCAAATATATTATTTTCTGGATTTTTCATTCTTTTGCAGTTATTGGCTTTACTTAATAGTTATGGTAATTAGGCTAATTGAAGCACATTCATTTGAATAGTTTCACGAAGACCTTGAATAATCAATTGAATGAGGAACTCCTATTAAACACTTGGAATTAATAGTATTTATTCTTTGGGAAGAATTTGTGAGGGTAACATTATTATCAATGTTATTGCTGTAATAGTGCTTGTACATTTGCTGCCAAATCGATTCATTACAAATTAATTGCTTTCCCGCAAAATTACCTATTATGATCGATATTCGTTACATATTAAACCATAATGAAGATGAGTGTCAATATCTTATACCTTATAATCTAATAACAGTTTGTTTAGAAAACTTATTACACATTAATGGTTATTGTATTTTTATTTTTTAATTATGATATAATATTTTCATAATATTAATATTCTTGGGAAATGGAATTCTAAAGAAATGGATGATTTTTTATTTTAATACGTCTGATACGAATAAGAAAATTAAAAAAAAAAAAAAAAAAAAAAAAAAAAAATTACATACACAAATATTTCATAATTCTAGTTGCAATTGCATTGACTCCTTTACAAAAATGTACTCTAAATTTAGTTATTAATATTATATCAATTGTGATCTAGGTTTCATTGTCAGTAAATCATATTGTTAATAAATTTATATGTTTAATTATTAAATTTAATTAAGTAGCTTAGACGACTTAATTCGGTCGTGCCGATTATTATCGATTTGTATGATAAATGCACTACTGGCAATGCTGGAGTTTTAATTAACTCTGTTAAGTCTTTTCACACACCTTCCATCATCGAAACTTTTAGATCTTTAGATGCAGAAGTCTTATGAAATAAAATATTTACATAATATCGTACAAATATGGAGTTATAGCAATTCATACAACTGTACTAATACAAGATTTATTTTCTTCTCTTAACCTAATTGAGATATGAACTTTTTCCAAGCACATGCTTATATGCTTTTGAAACGATTAATTTCTTTAATTTAACATTATTCTGCTAGAAAAAGTAATATTCCGAAATGTATGAAAGGTTCTGATTATGCTGATATTACAATTGAATATTTTGTAAGTCTATATACATTAAAAATAAACTATAATATTCTGACTATTACAAAGCCCGATTCTTTCGGAAAAAGTTTGTAATTTTCAAATTAATTACGTTGAACGTAAAAACTTCGTTCTTACTTCCTCTTTATCTATTTATTCTTCTTCCGCTTGTACTTTATTCCGATTTAAGCAAATTAATACGTGTTCGTTTAAATATAATAGATTAATAAGCCAATTATATATATATATATATTTGAATTAAGTAATTTATGTATGATTAAAAGCAATTATAAATACTTTTTAATGTTATATAGTTAAAGGATATTAGTTACTCTAGTTTACGCAATACATAAAAACTTTCTTTTTTTTTAAAGAAATTTTTATTAAGAAAGTAGAGAAACAATAATATTATTTAAACTTTTTCTTTACATTATTTATAAGTCAAATTTACATAGGAAAATTATTTCAAAGGAGAATATATAAAATATGTTAAATGACGTTACAAAAAGTTAATGTCATGGTCTAATGAAAAGTAAAGTTATGATGCATTATAAAAAAAAAAAAAAAAAAAAAAAAAAAAAAAAAAAAAAAATTTATAAACTAGAAGCTTTAGATTGATTACAAATGAAATATGGATTTTTAGGAAGTTTCTATGATATTTGTTACCATAATTTAATATTTATTTGAATATAATTGTAATAAATGCTACAGATACATTCCCATCAGAGCTATAAAAACGAGAATTGGCTCGTTAAAATGTTATTTGAAATATTATATCTAAAAATTTTGGAAACAATGTTCTTAGAAATGCAATTGTCTCGAGCAGTTTCTATTCCTCTTAGTTGATTTTTATCAAGTAAGTATATAAAAATATTGCTCCCCCCCCCCTACCCCCCTTATATTCTAATCTATAGCATTTGCGAAAAACATTGTTCTATCTTGAGTAATATTAAACGAAGGTAATAGTTCCATAAGAGAAATTGGATGATAGCATATATATAATTTAAATTTATTGTTTCCTCCTTATTTTTATTACGAGTACGAATGTATAAGCCGAACTTTATAATGCATTTAAAATCATACAAATGCTATATAGATTCATCATTCGATTCGTACAGGATAAATAACAAAAACATTAGTTGATTAAACTCACCCTCATAAATGCATTCGCATACACGCCCTCATATACATTCACGCACACACTGAGATTAATCATTAGTAATGTCATCAAAAGGAAGTATAACAACGTCATCAAAAAATGGATAATCCAAAATAAAACTGAAATTATTGGTTACTTACTTATTGGTTATTTTCTCAATATGTATAGCAGTATAATTGATAAAATAACTGTCAATATCGAAAAATTATTATTATTTGTTCGATAAAATATGATATTATTTTTCACCAATTACAGTAAGTTAAGCATTTGTACAAAAATATATATATATATATATATATATATATATATGCAATTTAAAAAGAAAATGAAAATAAGTTTTTAAATACAATTATTATAAGAACATTACCTATGATGAAATTTGCAATAGTAGAATAGGACAAATAATACTTTCGTTGGATATGTTTTCGTATGGAATTTTATTATGAAGTAAGCACTAAGTTTGTTTTTTTGCACCGTTCATGATCATTAGAACGATTAATTATTTGACCAATTTTT